CACTCAATACAACAATAGCAATGTACTCTCTCTCTCTCTCTCTCTCTCTCTCTCTCTCTCTCTCTCTCTCTCTCTCTCTCTCTCTCTCTCTCTCTGTGTCTCTCTCTCTCTCTCTGTGTGTGTGTGTGTGTGTGTGTGTGTGTGTGTGTGTGTGTGTGTGTGTGTGTAATGAACCCAGATCGTGAAGACAGTCGTCAACAATGCAAGCCCAGATGAATGTCAACCAGCTGATGATTACCAATAGTCAAAATCGTGTCCAGACAGAATGAGATGAGATAATCATACACAGACGAAGAAGAGAGGAGGGAGATTAGACAAAGGAGAGGAAGTAAATACAAGGCCCACTCCTGCTTCGGGATCCCTCCTCAATCACAATCTCGATAATCAATAGTCTGAACGAATATCTGAAGTAACCTCAATGTACCACGTGGCACGTCTAATCAGTCCCTCATCAGCACTGGAGCAATGTCGACATGAAGACAACCAGGTATGTATCCACGATCTCTCCACAGTCCCGATCTCCTCCTGAATGACGATAATCAGAACAGCAATACAAGTCCCGTAGTTTCGTGTCGTCACCAAACAGAAGAACACGTGGCAGCAGCCACGTCAGCCAATGATACATGTGGCGGCAGCCAAATCAGCAACGGTGCATGGCAGCTGCCACGTCAGCATGCCAAGAAGACAGGTGCAAGCCAGCCACCATGCCGGACCAGCAGCACCTCGCCGAATCACAATGCCAGCGTCGCAGCATCGATCCAACGTCGCAGCGTCGAGCCAGCGTTGAAGTCAATGCGCGAAGTCAGCATCAACGCAAGACGGAATGAATGTCAAAGCCGGGGAGGTCAACGCTTAAGTAGTGTCGACTCGGGGTCTGGACCCTGGATGCTGCAACCTTTAGCCGTCCAGATCTTGGTGCAAACGAAGGCCCAGATTGGCCTGGAACTGAATTCTCTTCGGCCTGGATGCTTGTCTGGGTACCTGCACACAACAAGTGAGTGTATCCAACCAAGGGCCTGGGCACGGTACCTTTGACTCTACAGTTGACTTTGACCCTTGAATTTCCCGGGTGCAGCGTTTGGTCACACAGCCAAATGCGACAGACTCAGGCCTGGGCGTGTCCTGGTCACACAGCCCAGCGCAGACCAACTTTGGTCTGCGTTGCCTGAGGCTGAGTTCTGGGCCCCAGACTACTTCTGAACAGGGTTACTGCATCTCTCTCTCTCTCTCTCTCTCTCTCTCTCTCTCTCTCTCTCTCTCTCTCTCTCTCTCTATCTCTCTCTCCCCCCCCCTTCCAGCTCCACCCCTTTACATACGAGCACGCAAGCACGGTCTGGCACAGTAATGCTTTTTTTCTGTGTAGTTGTGTGTACCGAACACGACCACAGACACACACACACGCACGCACATTACTTCCAGAGGGATGGCCATAAAAGAATCACTGAAATCGTCGAGGAAAGAGTTTCAATTCCTGTATGGACGACAACAAAGTTGAACACACCTTTTTATTTTTGTTTGAATTACATTATTATTATCATTATTATTGTCACACTTCTGCAGCGGAGACGAACCCACCTGACAAGGTTGTTGGTTACATGTGAAACTGTCAGTTGGTTAAATGTGAAACTGCGGCGAGCCGAGAACTCCAACCAGAGCATTCAAACGATGAGAACGTAGTTCCAGATCGTGAAGGCGGGAAGAGAGGTTCTGCAAAGAACGCAGCTGATAAGGAGGACTTTTTTGAAAAAGATTATTGCTAAATTTTTCCGTAAAAACAAAAATGGCAGAAATAGAGGAAAGGAAACAGGAAATATAAAACCGTCGAAATTACAAAATATATATCAATTTTCCGAGGGGGCAACATTCTCAAGGCCCGCAAAAAAAAATCCATTTAATTCCTCTCACAGTTCCCTGCAAACTTTCCTGCGAACTCTCCGGCAACTTTCCACGAACTTTCCACGAACTTTGCACGAAGGGTTCCTGCCTCTTCCCTTCCCCCTCACCGCCGACACAGAAGAAACATGTGGACCACCACAGCAGTGCCAACACACAAGATCGTGCTTGCTTTGTGCCAGGCCCAGTGTCTCGTTATTCTTCCGAATGAATTTAGACTTAATTGCGCACTAATACATCCAGAAAAAACTCCTTGTGTGCAAGAAGTAATGCCCTTATTGGCATACAAGCATCGAAGGGAAAAGAAAGTGTGGGCGTGAGTGGGTTGTGTGTAGAATGTGGGGGAGTGTTGGCCATAGACACTACCGCTACTCGATGGGGGGTGGGGGGGAAGTAGATGGGAGGCGCAGCTACTGGCAAAATGCTCGGTCTTGGCGTTAGCCGGCGCCACCGCCCATGAGAGTGGGGGGCAACATGCTCCCCTTAATTGTGAGAATTAGCTATGCTTGCAGGGGTCCCCTGAATAGGCTTAGGGGTAGTGGTAGGTAGATGGTGAAAGCTGCAATGGAGAGAAGAATATAGCTTGGTTAACAATAAAAATAAAAAAGGGGACTGAAAACAGATATTGTAATGGGGCAAAAAAAAAAAACAAAGATCTTGTAAGGTATATTATATTTGCATGATCTTCCCAAAGAAAAATAATAATAATAATAATAAACGAAAAAAAAATTGCATGATCAATCATTGCATACATGTTATGGACTTATCCGATGTACAAAATAAATGATATAACAAGGTCGACGGCGGTTATATCCACGTAGTCGTCCAAAAAAAAACTTGTCCACGTGGTCGATGGAGCTTCGTGGTCGATGGAGCTTCGTGGTCGATGGAGCTTCGTCCACGTAGTCGCCGAAAAAAGTCATCCACATGGTCAGCGGACACGTGGTCGATGGAGCTTCGTCCACGTAGTTGACGAAAAACGTCATCCACGTGGTCGGCGGAGCTTTGTCCACATAATCGATGCAAGCTTTGTCCGCGTCTCCTATAGAGAAGCTGAATCCGTGATGTGAACGGGAGGTTGGCCAGCCCTACAGGAGCGTGATGTTTTTTTTTTTTTTTTTTTTTTTTTTTTGCCAGGCCTGCCCAGCTCTATATCAGTGTGAGGAGGGACTGGCCCCTGATGTTTGCAAGGCCTGCCCAGCCCTATATCAGTGTGAGGAAGGGGACTGGCCAAGCTGTATCCATGATGTCGAACCCAAGTGGTCGGAACTGCTTTGTCCACGTGGGCGACACAACTTTGTCCACGTGGGCGACACAACTTTGTCCACGTGGGCGACACAACTTTATCCACGTGGGCGACACAACTTTGTCCACGTGGTCAACAAAGCTTTTTCCACGTGGTGGACTACCGTCTTCCCCCGAATAGAACGCACGGTTATTATGGACGTGTTTGGCTCACATTTCAGTCCAGATGCAGCGCAAATGACCGTACGTTTATTGGGGGGAAGAAGGTAGGCTTTGTCCACGTGGTGGATTAGAGTTTGGCCACGTAGTGGAGAATGCAGAAATGTGGAAGAACCCCCTACACAAGCTGACACGCAGCAGGTTTCGATGCGATGGAGCTTTGTCCACGTCGTGGAGACATGCAGAAACGTTGAAGAACCATGCATGCACACAAGCTGACGCGCAAGGGGTTAGTCGAACCATCAGAGAGAGATGAATCCATCTCGTCTGAGGGTCTCTACCTCCTCTTTTACGCCTCTGTCTACCACCTATCTCTCCCAATATGACCGTGATGAAGGCGATGATAGTAGACGAAGACAACGACGACGACGATGACGATCATGCGGTCCCTACCCGTCTGTCGACGTCCTCTGCCTTCCCCGGCTGCCACGTAAGCAAAATGAGACGCCTTGCCGCCGTGCCATGTAAGCCAGACGAAGTGCCTTGCCGCGCCGCCACGTAAGCAAGTCCAAGTGCCTTGTCGCACCGCCACGTAAGCAAGACGAAGGAAACTCATGAGAAAATAGTGCGTGCCGTGTCGATAGCGTGCGAATGGCGAAAGGCCGTGTAGGGGCGATAGCGTCAACAATGACGATGATGTGGCTGTGTAGGGGCGATAGCGTCAACAATGACGATGATGTGGCTGTGTAGGGGCGATAGCGTCAACAATGACG